AAAAAAAAAAAAAAAAAAAAAAAAAAAAAAAAAAAAAAAAAAAAGGAAAAAGCGAAAAAGGAACAAAAAGTGTTAAAGAGTACGAATATGTGGCCTTGAACCAGGTTATGACACCTGTTACAGCCTGGATAAGTGTACGGGTACGACGATACCGTAAACACCTCACTTACACGTCAAAGTCCTACCACATCTCCGTGTGCAATCAAGCACCGACAACCGTCAATTACACAAACGTCAAAAGAAACCCAACCAATCAATGTCTCCCCATCCTCTTCCTCGTAATTCCTACCCTTTTCCCCTTCTTCTCTTCTTCCCTCTTCCTCTTCACACCCCCTGCCCACCCTCGAGTCGTTATTAATAGCACAACTCACGACTCACCAGCAGCAAAAAACCCGCCCTACATGTACGATATCCACCCACTTCTTGCCCACCCCGGCCCCGGCTCACGGTCTTGCCGAGCCATCCCAGGTCAGGTCACGATGCCGGAGGAGAAGGGTAAAAAAAAAAGAGAGACAAGGCTGCTGAGAAAAAAGTGTACTAGTCAGGGGTGGCCATGGTTGAGCCGCGCCAAAGGTGGTCGCGTGGCTCGGCAGCTCGTACCTGGAACTGACTGATGGTACCTTGCATGCAATGGCTTGGTTTTGCTTGGCTCTCGTACTTTCGGCACGTCGTTGCCCGGACGTGTGGGGAGAGAGGCGATGACGATGACGATGCCCAGATCAGCCAGCTGAACAAATCGGCTGGAATGGGCGAGAAAATTTTCTAGTCACTTCGCGCACAGGGATCAGCGTCATGGTTGGTTGTGCTCTGTATTGATAGAAGATTCATGAGCAGGGTATTGAGGGCGTTGTGCCCATGTAAGTAGCTATAGCTAGGATAGAGTAGGTAACGTAAATAGATGCAAGGAAATGTCAAGGCAGAGTCAAATTGACAGACGTAGTGTAGTAGTTCCGTGCCCACCACCCTTGGGTATCCCAATGAGAGCCGATTTCCGCCCCAGCCGTCGCTTCGTTCCAAACTCCCAGGTATCAAGCAGAATAAAACAGAAAATGAAAATGCAGTGTTGCAAGCGTTGCTTCTTTTTATGTGGCCATGTTCCGAGGCCGCCGCCAAGTACCGATAATATCCCTCCCGTATGTAATCCCAGAACAGAAAGGAAAATAGACAAGTAGGCTTTGCGTGTAGCGTAAGTAGTTTGTAGCGTAAGTAGTTTGATGATGTTCTTCCAGATTAAAACGCCGGTAAGAATAAATATGTGCTGCGAGAAAAAAAGAATATACTGGCTGATGTTGATAGGAGATTGATGTAGTTGTCGTCATGGTGAGGCGTGATTGACTTAGAATGTGTCCATGTCGTCGCGATGGAAGACAACGCCTCTTCGTTTCCAGCCTCCACGCCTAACATAGTCCTCAAAGCTGTCGATGGTCCTGAATGTCGGCCTCTTGGGGACTGTATTGGAGGTATCGGTCCGAGGTGTAGATTCGCCTGCGGCTTCAGCTTGGTCGGCATCCGCGTTGGCGCTTGACGAAGCAGGCTCAGACATGCTTGTGCTGGGAGTAAGATCATCCAGTGACTCTACTGATGCAATGGTAGACTCGGACCAGCGAGACCGGGGTAGGGCAGGTCTGCTGTTGATGTGCATGAAGAAATAATCCCGTGGCTCGTCACCCTCATAGTCGTGGTGGCTCACGGGACTAGCATGAGGAAGCTCCATGACGAACTGGGTCTGATCCTCATCCTCGCCATCAAAATCTCTCTCGGAAGCCTCAAGGTCGCTGCTGTCGGTATCCTCGCTGTCGTAGAATGTGGGCGCAGAGTTGTAGTGGTGCTGGTTGAGTGGGATGAAAGGCCGGTCGTGCAACCTTTTGGGGGGTTGGGAGGCTGAGTGGATAGAGAAAGCGTCGAAGCTGGAAGCAGTGCCGCTGTTGGTGGCCAAGCGAGGAGTGAAGCCGCGGATGGTAGATGTTGATGAATCTGAAGAGAATGACCGGTCGGATGTGGAAGCGAGAGAGCAGCCCGAGAAGGAGACCTTGCGGATGTGCAGGTCCCGGGGTTTGGATCCCCGTCGTTGACCAAGGCCACCAAAGAGAGTCATGATGGCGATGGCAGCTGTATAGATGCTTTGGTGTGTGGGTGTGGGTATGTGGTGTGAGTGTGTGTAAGTGTAGTTGTATGTGCGAGTGGGTGGTGTATGTCGATTGTGGTATGGATGAGAAAATAGCTGAATCGCTGGATGGCGGATGGTGTTGATATTAAATATGCTAGTATATGCGCAAACTCAATCGCTCGTGCAGAGCTAAGGCGGATCGATCGGTCCAACTAAGTTGCAGAGGGAGGGGGATGTGATGTGTATGATGTAGTCGTGCGTGCGATGGCGTATCTGGCACACAAATGCAGGAGGTGGCGAAACAGGTAGCAGACGATCGGAAAACGCTGATTAGTCCAGCGAGCGTTGCAAGTCCAAATCCTCGCCGATCTGGTGCTTTGACTGCTCTCGAGCTGAACTCTTGGAGGGTATCGATGAAGGAGGCCGTGATGCAGGAACTCCCGGACTGCCGAGAGGAGACGGCCTCATCCATATATGTGTAGACAGTCCATGATGCTAGTAGCCTGCGTGCGGAGTGTGTGCCAAGAGGGGGAGGGGCGTGTACCAGTTCCAGTGGGCGTGAGAGTTGCCGGGCTGGTAAGCATGGGCATCGGATGGAGCCTGGACCGGGCGGTGGCTTTGATCGGCTCTCGTCCTGCACACGCTGCGTACATACGTACCTGCGAATGCTCGCCATGTCTTGCACGGTTCCTGCTGGTGGGCGTCTTGCTAGGCCTTACGGCACCATGGCCTCTCCACATGGACGCCTCCGATAGTCGTGATGACTCCCACCGAGGCATGCCGCCGTCGTGAACCTTGGTGTTCATGGCTGTGAATCCCCTCTCCAGGAATTCATCCACGCCCGGAAGCTTGGACTTCGCCGACCTGAACTCGGCCGGTGCTGTTGTGGCTGCCGTCCTGTCCATTGCGTCGGGCTCTGTTACCAACAGCTTTCTGGAGTATTCCAAGAGTCCGGTGCGGCGGCAGCAGCTAACGACGCATCGATGATGAGATACCCCAAACTACCCATCCTGTGTGTGAGCGTGCGTCGTCGTTGATTGGGGCGATCAAACAAAACGAAACAAGTCGCCCTGCGCCAGCATCCTGGCTTGCCTGGTCCTCCTCCAAGCTAACTGAGCCCTCTTAGTCCAGGCCAAGCCAGCCAAGGCCACACCTCGTAATCATGGGCTGAGGGAACCCCGGTCGCCTGCTGCTAGGAATAGTCGACTAGACCAGGGGCCCCCGGTGGCTTCACGCTGCCAAAACCTTGCGGACTGTACATAAAGTGGTTGCGTGGGTCGACGTCATGCCGAAAGGCGCCCATGCCCAGCGCATTTCACGACGCCCGCCATTTGCCGTTGGACTCTTTTGTTCCTGGAACTGCTCCCCATCTTCGTACTCGCAACAGGATCTGATACAGCATCCTCGCTCACAGTCAGCACGGCCTGCGAAATGAAAGGCTACCGGGCAGGCAGCAATTACCGCTGGGCCACGGTGTTCAAGCTGAGCGCCCCTCTGAGAGTGCCCGCAGAAGGCCTGTAGAACGCCTTGAGCAAGGCCTGGAGAGCGATGCGACGACAGCGTTGGGCCGCTGCATGCAAGGGACGAGGTGAGCAGCTGTGAAGAGTGGTGTCAATGTCTTGGCAGGGCCATTGCACGAAGCGATGTGTGGTGGTGTCTCGCAAGAGGCGCCACTTGAACTTGCCAACCTGCATCGTGATGGTCAAGGTCAAGCCCGTTACGAAGTAGTGTGTCTCTCGTCTGTGCCGTGCCTGGAGCGATCGCTCAGGAACCGGCGTGAATCGGGCTGGCGTTATCAGTGACGAGAATTGCCTTTTCGCGGCGATAGGTTAGCAGTCAGCTGCACTGCACGGCTGGACACGGCACCGGCGGCAGGCCTAAGGGCATTAGCAGCCACCGCGGGAGAGCGAGGATGATGGCATGATTCCATCGTGGCAAAAGGCAGTCTATCCGGGCAACGGAGAGAGAGCTGTGCCTGGAGGTGATTGACTAAGATAGATAGTCATCATCTATCTTCTACTACTAGTAGTATCTATCTTTTGTTAGCACCATCTCATCGCCTGGGAGATGCCCGAGGTTAAACTGGAGCATCGCGGCAGGCACGCTTCCCCTCTGCCTCTTGCCGCAGCTGCCTCGACTACTAGTACTAGTGCGAAGTCGTGCTCAGTATCCATCTAGCACATGGCCACGCTACTGCGCGATTGGCAGGATAGCGAGATACTCTCCAGATACGGACAAGTGATGATATGGAGCTGTGCGGAGCAACTCCTCCCTGCCTTATTTGTGTGGTGATGATGCCCAAGACAGGCCAAAAGCAACTCCGTCTTTCATCTTACAAGCAGGCATCGGTATGAGTGCAGCAGGGCAGCTTCAGCCTTCTCGCTGCTCCCGTCGCATCAAATCAAACCACGGCCGCCCTGCCATCGGGTCGTCCGAGGCTGAGAATCCAGACCGATCGATCAAGAGCCGACACGACGCCAGATCTGGCCTTGCATCCATGACCCAATCAACGGCTCCATTGGATTCATGCTCCTTCGCAGAGTTTCTTTTTCCCGCTCCTCATCTTAGTCGAGGGACAGCATGCCATTTCCAACGCCATGAAAGCCTGGACGCAAGCGAACCAAAAGAAAGTCCGTCCCGCTGCGCCTTAGCCAGATCGCTTAGATAACGACTCCAGCAGGACAGGGGTGTCGGGACCCGTGGCTTGGACCAACGGCGCTCTCATTCGCCGTGACGGCTTCCCCTCAACGCCTCTCAGGAACCATGGCTGCGCTGTCAAAACTCAAAAGCTGGAGGGGAATCAGTTTGCGGAGCAGGCGAGTGATGGGCTCACGCCGAGTGTCCATGGGCTGATTGTTGATTGTCGGCCGAGGCCTTGACGAATCCCCCGAGACTCAGTTTCACAGCGGCGTTGCACCACCGCAAGCCATCATTCCTGAGGTCGCCCTTTCGGAGAAACGAAGCATCTCACAACCCCACGTTTTCCCCTCTGTCCGGGTCCTGTAACCAGGAACCCAAGACCTCGGACATTGAGCCAATCAGCAAGCCGGGATGGACGGTCTGCGAAGAGCAGTGAGGGAGGGCAATGGATTGCACGGGCCTGCCCAACTTGACAGCAAGCTGCAATCTCTGCCGAGTGCGACTTCGTATGCATGCACGCCCCTCTCTGTTGCTACTCTGGCGAGACCTGCATCATTGACAGCTCAGCCGCACCAGCATCTCGCAGCCGCACCCAATCTCATGAAATTTTGCATCTTGATGGGGTGTGGACGCTCAGTGTCGAGCTGATCGCCATGGTGTTGTTGGCAGCATGGAAGCACACCGCAACAAGAGATCAATCCAATCTTGGGTTATGCGCTTATCTTGAACCACAACTGATCTGTGCGTCTTCTGCGTCGCCGACCTTTGGGGAACCCGAGCCTGAACAGTCACAGAGCAGCAATATGAGACATGGCTCATCGCAAGCTGCCGCCCGCGTCGGGCCTTTCCAGGTGCGACAACTTTGTGATAACACCGCCCTTACCAAGGAGGGCTGCCATGTAAGGGCATCACAACCTCTACCCTCTGAAGCTTCTGGATCACTTTGACGTCGTCGACAGTCATGGGATATGGGTTGCGACAAGGGGGGAGCGTTGCGATGATCACCGGCGACCATGCAAGCATCTTCAGTAATACCCTTACACTTGCTTTTCATGGCCCCAATCGTTCAGCTGCGGGAGACAAGCACCCAACAGCTACCATGACAAGACAACGAACCCCGCGCACCAGGTGGCCGGCTCCTGCACGGCCAACCTGAATGGCTTCTTTGGGCTTTTGTCTTTTTGACACCATGCAACACGCAAGATGCGGCCCCCAACGCCAATATCCTAAAATTGCGCTTCAATATTCTTTCAGCCCCCCCCGCCGCCTTGCCTGATGTAGGTCGTGCAAAGCTCTCGAGCTTGGTGGTGCATCCATCTCGAAGGGAGTGCTACCTACCTCCTATGTACTGCTGCTAGCATATGCATGTGTGTGGTCACAAGGACGACGGCTGCAGGTACGGCGCAGGCTAGAGCTGCAGGCAACCCAACATGCATGCATGGCCGATTGCCGTGACGCTGCGAGCCGCAGCCTGGTTGCGTCGCATGACAGCGCCGTGTCATTTCTGGGTGCTTGACAGGCTTGACAGGATCCAGGATCCGGGCTCAAACTCGACGACGAGTCTGCAGCCTTTCAGACATAAGGTACATGCGAGCGCGACGGCCACTGTTATGAGGACGGAGCACCTTGTGCGCCGTACTGGCCAATATCGCCGACCTCTGTCGGGATTATCATACGCGCGGCGCTCATCACGAAAGCCACGCCTAACAAGACTGAACCCTTCCTGCGGGATGCAGTATGAATGCTCGCACACATGCCTGCAAATGGTAACCACCACCACCGAAAAGCATTCGTGCTCGTACTTTTGTTTTGCCGGGCCAAGCCGTCGGCAACAGCACCAAGACGAGTCGGCTGCCTCTAGCGGTTGCCAGTCAATTCTCGTCACATTCACGCAGGGTTCCATGTCGAAGTCGCAAGATCCGACAGCGCGGTCGCCAGGTCTATGGACACACGCAGAATTCCAAGCTCACGGGACTTTGGGACTGCTACCCACGTCGCTCCCACATTGTCGGACTCGTCACTTGATCACTTGGTCATTTGCCCGTCGTAGTCTGCTCCGCGCTCCGTGCCCAGCCCCCATGGCCATTGCGACCCTTGCGTCTCTCCTCAAACAATGATGTACGTACTTCTTGTATGTGCTCTCATGGCCCAAGTTGGGCTTATTGACATGCTGTCCCTTGCTGCTGTTGGGGCGAAATCCAAGTCCACGGTCCCGTCATCACACAGCTTCTGCACTTCTGGCACGGGAAGTAATACAGACTAATCTACACAGTCACCACGACTTTTGGCCGCGCTAACATTCTTCTCCCTGTGTTACACGGCCGTGATCCCTCCCGTCGCTTCCAGGA